TCACTCCACTTGAGGTGCTACTGTGGGACAAGAATCATGTTCAAAAGCACTAAATAATAAATGTTGTGATGGGATGCTTAGCTGACACCTTCCTCCCACTCAGGAATGTGCATTTTGGACAGTCCCAAGGAAGCCAGGGTACTTGTCTAAAGAACATGATCAACATTATCAGCTGGCAGGAAGGAAGACTATTGGTATGTCCCCCATTTCTTCAAGATATAAACTGATATCAATCAGCTTTGAGGGCTGCTAAGAAGAGGCAATATGAACTCAGGCGCCAGGAGGACCTCAATGATCCGCCCACAAGGTACTTGCACTTCTCTTTGCCTGTTTAAATCCTGCTCATCCTTCAAGGCTTTGCCCAAGTGAAACCTTCTTTTCTGAAACCTTCTAGTCTCTCTAGCCATCCCTCAATTCCTGTCAGTAAGCATTTACACCATTGGATTTCAGAGACCCTGACATAAAACATACCCATGTATATAAGATTACAGGAGAGGTTAGTCCCTGTACAAATCTTCTGGCTGCCTTGACCAGGAAGAGCTGAAATGCATAGTTCCAGGAGTGAGTGGGATTAATCCTTATCCTGGCTCAGAGTTCCTAGGAGAGGGAGGGGAGCATAGCGTTACCCTAGGAACAAATCTGCTGGGAGAGGGGACATTACAGGTCCAAAATAAAATAAGCACATAAAAGCATCCTAACTTTTTATTTGTGAAAGAATAAAAAGAAAGGGTCAGTGCAACTGAGCATCCTAAGGTTACAGGGCAACATGGGGTAAATTAGGGCAGGGATGGGTGAACATAGGGAGGAGAATGAAGAGACTGAATTGGCTGTTTGTCTGAGACTGAGGCTCAGCTGATCAAAACAAAATTTTGCTCATGTAAGTTGATGCACTGAGGTGGGTGAGACCAATAAGTAATACAAGGAATTCTAACTTCTGCCCAAACCCTGGAATCCCCAATTCACCCAATTTTTCCACCTAACTGAGGGTATTTCTGGCCACACATATGTGGTGATGAGTCAGCGACTGAGGCTCTGAACCTGGATTTCAGAGCTGCTCTCCAGCAATCCTGTTGGCTTCAACTCCTATAAACATTTACCTGTGCACACGTGTTTTTTTCAGGGAAAGAGATTACCACCAAAATCTAAGAGATTAGAAATCCAAGAAGATTTATTTTAGACACAGTAATGATTAAAAGTGATTCCAGTCCTCAAGGAGCTCATAGAAATGTCAGGGAAACACACAGAATAATAATAGCTCACAGCCGTTGCATCCTGTCTGTACCAAGCACTGTGCTGATTCACACACTGGGCTCATTTAGGCCTTACACAAAAACTCTAGGGCAGGTACTGTCATTCACCTCAAAGCCCAGGCATTGAAGAAACTCCAAGACCACTGGCTTGTGTGGATACATTCAGAGAAAGTAACAGTTCATGGTCATCACTG